CCTATTTAAAAAAACCCCTAATTTTCTAAATGATTCCGTGGTGCTTCCTGATAGTTGCAAGTTTCTCCCAAAAATTCAGGCAAAATTATTATTGCTGCTTCTGACAGCTGAAGTAGCTCACTTGTCTTGTCTGAAAGGAGGGCAGAGATAATAGGTGAGAAAATTATATGGCATTTAGGCCTATTTTTTTTTCCAAGTGGAGAGGGAAAATTTATCACAGCAGTTTGTGAAGTCATTCACACCTCAGAAATGATCAGTTTTGGAAGTAAGTGGGGATGAACATTGCTTCGGGATAGTTTCAGAGTGGCTATTCAGCTTGCGTATCCCGAAATGTTCTAATTAGAGCTGAGCCATGGTGTGCTAATGGGTTGATTCAGGGAGTGTTTCACTTAGGTGGAGGCATCTACTCTGACGTAGGAAGCTGGGGAAGTAAGCTTAGCAAGGACCTGGATGAATCGAAAAAAAATAAAATAAACAAAACCCTAAGCAAAAATACTTTAAAGCCTAATGTAAACCTCTTTTTTTTTTTTTTTTTTTTTTTTGGAAATTCCACGTTGAGAATGGCCGTTCTCAATAACATTGCCCATTACTCCCTAAGATTGTAGTGAGCTGTAAGCGGGCAAACTTGTATGTGCTTTGGATGACTTAACCAAAAAGTCCCGGAGTCTGTTTTCTGTCTGTAGTTGAAGAAGAATTTGCACTTCTTGCCTGGATTCAGTAGGAGATGCTAGAGATGGAAGGCTGACAGGTAAAGGACCCATTTTGTCCAGGGCTTTGTGAGCTCCTGAGGCTTGGCATCCCATCCGATGGCTCTTCAGGTGGCTCTGAAGCCATCTCAAAGGTATCCTCTCTCCCATACCTTGTTCTGCAGCCCATCTGCTGTCCCACTTGCCGCTTCAGACCATCTGCGAGAGCTGCAGGGGTTGTCCACAGGTGTAACTGTGATTTCACTGTACTCAGTGTGGTTCAAGATCTAGAAGCGCTCGGGGTAGCTACTAGGGATCCACAGGCTACAGTTAAGGGTTGTGTGTTTGAGGAGGAGGTGGGGAAAAAATGGCTTTCAGGCATTGTGCGGAGAGTAGCAGAGAAAACCCTGTCTGTGGTTTAGATATTTATTTTTTTTTTTGTAATGTGGATTATCATGGGCACTTGATTTCCAAGTGGTTTGTTTTTTTTTTTTCAATTCCTTTTGAAATGTTTCCCTTTAAAGAGGAGTGTCTGTAATTGTGAAAATAAATCCAGTGTAAAGGCATTGATTTAAAAGGAAGTAAGAGAATACTTTTTGTGCGTGTATAAAGGACCGTATTTGTGCTTTTGTCCCTTTAGTTGTTCCAAAGACCGAATGCCCTTGCTGTTCAGCAGCTCACAGCAGCGCAGCAGCAGCAGTACGCGTTGGCAGCTGCCCATCAGCCTCACATAGGTAAGTCTTGCATTTAATACATTACATTTTGCTGGACTTTGGTTAATCCTCAGAATACATTGGGAAAATACTAGGGAAAAAGGATTGATAGATTTTAGAGAATCCTACGTGTGTTTTTGCAACTGGTAGTCGACATGCACGCAGAAGTATATTGTTTGAAGATTTACTTGAAAAATTCTGGAGGTATCTCTTGCACACTTCAGAAGCTCTAGAGCATTCATGTCTGGCAGGAATGACACTCTTACCCTTGCTGAGAGTGCTGTTCAGTAATGAGAGCGTTTTGAAGTAATTGCTTGCTCCGAGTGAGGCATGAATTGAGGTAAGTGGCACAGTGAAGTGAGGGGAAAAATGCACAATTCCGTATACACCTGAATGTGCTTCCTGTGATTCAGCTGCCTAGGGTCTGACTGGAAGTTAAAGTTGTCATTTATGCGAACACATGATTCATATTATTAAAACAGTATAGATTAACTGGGAAGGAAGCACTTAATCCTGTGCATAGAAAAACTGGAGAACTGTGGAAGGGCTGCTCATGGATGATTAAACTATCTTAGGGTTAAATGTTTTTAGTGCAATAAGCAATTTAAGTGGTAGTTTTTCCTACCCGAAAGCCTGATACAAATCTGTTGGGACTCTCCCAGCCCTGTGCAGTGCACTTTTGTGCCTATGGGAGCTCAGGGATAGAGCTGAATTAAAATTATTTAGCTTTTTAACTTACCCCTTTCACCTTCACCTCCCCTCCACACCCCTCTTCCACCCACCTGTAATTTCTCTAATGATTAAACTGTTTCCTTGCAGAGGAAGGTAATGCCTACACGGCAGTGATAGTGCCCTGCCATGTTGCCTGTGCACTCCTGAGCTCCTTCCAAACTAGTTAATGGAAGTACTGGTATTGTGTAATGAGCATGGAACTCAGAAAGTAGGGTAGATACTGGTTCTTGATCAACTTACTATAGAAAATACAAAATAGTAACGAGCAATTAGATAATGGTAATATCTAGCTGGTGTTAATAGTCACCTAAACAGTACGGGTGTGTCTGTGCTGGAGAGATACCTGAGCAAGTATGGATGCTGTCTATAGACTATTTTACCACTTCAACTTTCCTTTTGGGGCATTGCATCCTTGGAATTAGGTTTCTTATATGTAAATTATATCCTCTGAAGATTGTTCTATTAAGACTCTGGGAAATGCAGTGGTTGCTCCCTCCCTATAGAAAGCAACCTGTAAAAAGCTTGAAAATACTAAAGGAACCTGAGCTTTTGTGTTGACCAACCAGGTAGCCAGAAGTGTTTTGGTAGGGCTTCAGTCCTAGTTAAGTTTGTTTTTACTGACAGGTATGTTTTCAGCAGGTTTAGCGCCTGCTGCCTTTGTCCCCAATCCGTACATCATCAGCGCTGCTCCACCGGGAACAGATCCGTACGCAGCCGGACTTGCAGCGGCTGCGACATTAGGTGAGATACTTCAGTTGTCCGTGCATTAGCAACCATTTTCTGTACCAAAACTGCTCTTGAGTCTGTGATTGTGAAAATTAAATATTAGTACGTTGTAATTTCTGTGGAGACATAATTGTATATCAGTGAATTGAAACAGAATTTGTCTCGGAAACCCTATTTTCTGTACGTTAAATGTGATAATTCTTGTATAACACTTGCTATGGGCTCTCTATCTGTTGAGGGTAAACAACCAGAGGAAATCTGAAATGAAACACTTGCAGACATAAATGTTGCTACATGTTTGGGGTGTTTTGGTAACTGACAGTAGTGAGAGATACCTTTGAAAATACACTTATTAAAATCTAGAAAGATGGAGGATGTGTTTTCCTGCCAGGAAAGTTGTATGTCATTGCTGTTTAGCTTGATTTACTGTAGTGCGTCCTGCAAATGAGAGCTTTTCCTTTTGCAAGAGTCTGTTAAGAACTTATGTTTTTTTAGGTTCTTTAGGTAAAAACATCCCGTATCTGCTGTGAGGCTTATACTATGAATATGCAGTTTTCCAGATGGCAGGCAAAGATGGTGGCTTTTGTCTTCATACAAGATCTTTCTCCCAAACGTTCATGTATCAGTTTCCAAATTCTTTCCAACTGTCATAGCCAAAATTGTTTTATCTTGAGATGACAGCTCGGTAAAACAGCTTATCAGGCAGTGTGAAGAACACATTGTACGTTGAACTTTTGCTGTGTATGCCATAAAGTTCTTGCCTAAGCATTGAGGAGAAAGAAAGAATGTACTCTCAGAAGAACATTTTTATAACCATGCTTTGCTTTCCTTGAGCCATCGGGAGAGGAAACCTTCTACACTTCAAATAAAAACTTCTTTGTTTGGAGTGGAGGTGATTTTTAGTGGAACTTGCACATTGTTGCCACACTCCGTTTACAACTTGTATACTCACTACAAATCTCTTCCACTGTGGAATAGCTTGTACCAAATCAAAAGCATAAAACATTGGTTGTATGTGAATGTAGTGCTCTGCCAAATGGTGTTGTGGTTTGGTACGTGACTTTTTGGCATGTTTAACAGCTCTTGCATAACCACTGCTTAGCTTTTAAGCTTTGAGGCCAGTATCAGGTCAAGCTTGGAAATAGGATTTCAGCAACTGTTACCCAGTTGAATGGCATTTTTAATGGATCATATGGATGTATGTAAAAGAATCAAGATTATAATTTGAAGATATGGGCTTTGGACTTTTTGACTGCTGTGAATTTTGTATGCTGATTGCATAACAACAATGCAAGATTAAGTTTAGGTAACAGCGTGCTGTTGGCAAACAAATGATGCTGTGATTAAATGGAAGAAAGCCAAGAGCTAGAGTACAAGGATATTTCTAATAGTCCAGGAGTTGATAAACTATCATGTGTTGATGAATGCTGGTAGTGAATGAATTACCTGAACTCTTGGTGGCAAGTACAAGTAGGAAGCTTCTGTCAGGACGTAGCAGGGAAGAGGTACTGGAACGCTAACAATTCCAGTTAAAGTCAGAGGAGGTGCTTTGTAAATAAATACTATAAAAATAGGATTTGGGTTGGCCTTTTTGCATCACGTCAGTGCTTAGCTAGTGCTCATTCTTCAGTAACACCCTGAAGTTCAGCAGAGCAGGAGGTCAGCATCTAGATTTCATAGAAAGACCACATGTAACTGCTGCTGGATTTCTAGGAAACAGCAAGCATGTTTGTGACAACTTCTTTTTTTTCTTTCTTCTTTTTCTCAGCAATATTGAAGCCGCAGCTGCCTGAATATCTGATTGGGGCCTTATAAATTTGAACTAGGAAATAACATACCCCAGGATACTTAAAGCATCCCAAAATTTGGCATCAGGTTCTCTACTTGAACAATTTTTAAACTTTATGACTCTTGAAAACAAAATGAAAGAATGTATAGTGCGCTGCAATGTATTTGTAGTGTTGCACCACTAAGAAATACAAGTTCCTTCATCCACGTCATTGGGCTTTGGACCCTAACAGCTAGAAATGGCAATATAACAAACTTGTGGTTGATGTTTGCTTTAGGAAAAGCATCTTTCTCTGTCTAGACTTGAGTGGTTTTGAAAGCCTTTTCTCTGTAATGACTGAGTGCAGCACTGAAGGGCGTGGGACAATTTATATGTAACTCTAAACATCTAAAGGCAGAAGGCCTCCCTGGTGCGTCTGGGAGTGTTAAATTGGGAGGACTTGGAGAACTTTATGAGATGGAAGAAATGAGTTTAGAGTTGTTGGTAGTTTATAGCTCACAGTTACTTTTAGAGCAAAGGGGAAACTTTTACATGTTTTATGGCGGAGATAATTCTGTCAATTAAGATTCTGCCATTATGGCAGCTTTTTCATGATTGTAAGGCTGTCAGCCTTGTGATAATATGCTTTTTCTTCCCAACAATAGTAGCATTTTAAAGAACAAATTTAAATGCAGAGGGAAGGGCTTCCTAGACTAAAGAAAATATCACTTGTGAATTTAAACCATGGGGAAGATACTGCTGTCTTTAAAAAGTGTTGTGTAATTGCCTTCTATCATTGGAGAAAGGTGTCACTCAAAAAAAAAAAAAAAAAGAAAACTTGCCTTTTATAAGACAAGTCAGGAAATGTCGATTCCCTCTGAGGTGGTGTGTTACAGGTAGAAAAGTGTTTCTGCTCTTTGTAGAGAAGTGGATGCTGGAATAATCTACATAGAGGAAAAACACAGTGCTCCTAGACTGAAGGTAGAGTCGGTTTGGATGCGTCTGCACTGTGCTTCTCAGGCATTGGGTTTCTTAGAAGCCTCATTCGCTTGGTGCTGACCTGTGTCCCATGCAGAGCCAGTTCAGAGCTGGAGACAGGTATGGATGCATGCACATCCCGCCTAGGACCGGGGTTTGGAGGAGCACCTGCAGCTGGCTCTTTCCCAGCTGCCTTGGACCCGGTGTCATGCAAGGGTGCATCTCCTCTTCTGGATCCATGCCAGCCTCAGGTGCTGTGCGGCAGGGTTTGCACGAGGCTGCACCAGAGCTGCTTGAGTCCGATTGTTTCTCACCTCCATCCCTAAAAAGACACCACTTCATGGATATCTGCAGGTGCTGTACCCATGATTCTGAAGCGATCACCTCACAAGTCACTAGTCATTGATCAAGTTGCTATTTGCAGCCCTGCATTTTCAGACGTGAGGTTCTTGAGGCTATTTAACCTGGTGGTCACCAAGTGCTCATCCTTGGCAAGAGGGGGTTGGCTGTTCCTACAGAGAGCAGGTATGGCTTCTGCTTAAAGAGATTTGAGTGTGAAGGCTGAGATTAAAAGCAAAAATTTTGGTCTGAACACACTTACAGATGGATTTGCTAGTGTTTCTTGAAAGGCATATTTGTGGGTGTCTGTGGCCAATGTGTGAGATGCAATAGTGGGAATATTTGATTTCAAAGGCAGTAGAATAGCTTTTATTTTCTCGTGTGTGCATATCTTTAATAAGTGTAAAAGCAGATGCAATATCTCCTGAAGTAAAGAGACACTCTTATGTGTTTTTAGAAGTCTGGCAATGATGACACACTTGCCCTCACTGAGAACACTGTTCAATAATGAGCCTCACCATGTGCTCAAGTGAGCTGAGCCAGACTTGCAGCTCTTTTAAGCCCAGCTGCCTGCAAACTTCAAACACTTTGTGTTTCTTCTTCTTTTAAACACTTAAGGCTTTTGCAGACCTGACAAGCAACCTCTAACTAGGGATGGGAAAAAAAGTCCATCTAGGCTATGCTTGTTTGATAATTAGAACTGAGATTAAAATAACCCAGAGAGATGCCCAAATTTTGCCCAGATAGAGGGTATTGCAGCAACTTCCCAGCAGCCTAAGGGCAAACGCAGACTAATTACTTGCATAAAATGGAGCAGTTGCAACTGTTTTCCTGTTGAGTGCAGAAGCACCCTAGCAGTCAGCATCTGATCTGCATTGACTTGAATATAAACAGGTTATAAGCCACCGATTAGCTATGTGTCTGTAACTACTTAGGTCAAAATAGGCAGTGCCATTGTGGGACTGATTCATTTTCTGCAGCTTTTTTTTTTCATTTTAGCTACCACTGCTCATGAATTTCCAGATTGGAAGGTAAGAAACAAGTGGTTGCTGCTCCAAGACAAATCTGAGTAGGACAGATAAGTCACCTTCTCTGCCTGATGGTACGTGGTAAATCCAGCAAGAGTGGATTTTGTGGCAGAGCTTTAGTGTGAGATACAGATCCAACTGGGCAGCATGCATTGCTAAAGTGCCTGGCATTAGACAACAGGCTACTTGTAACGTCTCCCTGCTGTACGTAGAGCTGGGCATGTGTGTTAATGATGCTACAAAATCCTAATTTTGGGGGAAGTACGATGGTTAAAAACAAAATAATAAAAGGAGTGTAACTATTTCACTTTTGAAATATGAATTTAATATTTGACATTAAATATGAAATGAGTATCTTGAAGTGTTGCTGAATCTCCCCAGTCTGCAGTATTGATTGCAGGAGCAGTTGTTTATCCAGGCTGAGATCCAGACTGTTGCACAGTGGATTGCTTTTGCATTATGTAGTAGTTCATTTGAGAGAAACATGTTACTGTATAAACAACAAAACCGAAAGATTACTTCCTTGATTTTTTTTTTTTTTTAACCCCTTTGTCGTACTCAGGTTTACACTCAGCAGTGTCTTTTTGCATCTCCCTTTTTTTACTGTCACCCCTCCTTTTTGGGGGAATAGTTTTTAAGTCTCTTGGGGCAAACGCTCATAGTCTTTGTGTGTTACACTTGTTCTCCTTGCAGCGGCTTACCGTAAGACATAACTAACAGCAATACTGAAATGACTTGGTTGGAACTCAAATGCTAACCATCTGTCTTAAAATAGAAGCTATTTTTACTCCATATAAGAACAAGTGTGTGGTTCAAGTTCACTAAAGACTTATTTATTCTACAGTGTCAAATATGACTGTGACACTCTACTTTAAAAAGGCTAGCATGCCATAATTTACTCCTGCTGTGGGGAAGGAACCCGTGGGATAGGTGATGTATTTGAAAAGCAAAGGAAATACCTCTACTTTTCTGCTGACCTTTCCAAAAGATATCGAACAGACATATTAAAAAATATTATTGGATTCGCATACATGTTATTTGGTGGGATGGACTCCACCGTTCAGCGCAGAGTACTCGCCGCTTCCTCAGCGTTATGCCAACTAGATTTATTTAAGGATATAGGCTGCCATTCAGCTATTGCCGAATTAAGTGTGTGGTGTTCTGAGACTTGATAAAACACAATGCATCTTCAAAAGTTATGCTTTTTCTGATGCTCTCCAAGATTATTTGTCTTTTTTTAAGCCTCTTGAGTTTGAGGAGGGGGGAACAGGAAAAGATATAGGATCATACAGCCTCTTTTATGGTGGTTTGCAAATGCAAAACAGGACCGAGTGGCTAGAAAAATAACATTTTAAACACTTGAGAATTGATACTATCCAGCTGCAAAGAGGTTTTCTTAATTTATTGGGGAGCTAAATGATAGATGTTATTGAGCTGTGAATGTCAGCTGGGATTAGAAGAGACTTGTATATCTCTGTGCTTAAACCAGTTTCCTTCTCTTTTGGTTAAAGATAAAGTTTTGTTCCTTCACTATAAAATTAGGGCACAACATGGAATGTAAAAACGTGGAATTTCAACAGGATCACTGATAGCAGGACTTGACCTCATCCAATAAGGTAAAAGCAAGTAAAGATGAAATTTCAAGTCTGCCTTGTAAGCTTTTAAAAAATGAATACAAATGCCAGAATCCCTCCGTATTTGCAAAGGATTTAAAGCAGATCACCATGAAATAGGATTTGTTAAACCAAATATGACGAGCAGGTATTTTTGGTGGCCGTTTGCTGTGTAATGTTTGTCGCGCTACAGAAGCTCACCGATTCCCTTGGTGTTTCAGGCCCGGCGGTTGTCCCTCACCAGTACTATGGAGTTACACCCTGGGGAGTTTATCCTGCCAGTCTCTTCCAGCAGCAAGCCGCTGCAGCTGCCGCTGCAACTAATTCAGCAAATCAGCAGACCACTCAGCAAACCCAGCAGGGCCAACAACAGGTAAGGGGTGGGATGCTTTGCACGTTACATCATTTACAGGGAAGATGGCAACTTTGAAGAATCCTGATTTTTTTCTTTTTTTTCTTTTTTTTTTTTTTTCCCCCAATGTCTGCTCCTGACCCTCAGTTATAAGTAGCTTTAAGTGAGGAGAAAAGCCTTTGGCCTCTATTAAAAACAAAAACATCTATACATTCTGCTACATCATTTATACGTCACGCACGTGGAGGGTAACGCATGTACATTTGTGGTGGTGAACTGTTGCGTGTTAAGGCTTTGGAAACCATATTAAGTAATTGATTTGTGAACACTGAACTACGCGGTAGCAAACGCATGTCGCTCATGTGCGAGTGGAAATCATCATCTTACAATCTGTTTTCGTGCCCATCATGCAATTTGAAGGCCATGGAGTTGATGATAATGCATGTCAAATACTAAGTGTCAGTAAGTGTGTTCTTATCTTCAGGGTGCTGTCCAGTATAGAATGCTTTTTTTGATGAAGACTAGCTTTAAAAGGGTCAAAGTAACAGCGGAATGAATTGGTTCGGTATCCATGTGAGAACTTGGAGACAGAAAATGAGTGCAAAAAGAAAACACTGAATTTCCTATTTTTACAAGGCAAACTGTGCAGCTATTTTGCTTTAGTCTGCACAAAAATTTGGAGAATTTGACACCTTAAAAAGACAAAATTAATGAAGTTAGTGAAGGGTTTTCCTGTGATCTGCTCTTACCCCTTGAAGTGTATTAGAGATTAATATTGAGACAGGTATCTGTTGTTTGAATGGTATTTGCTTTTTGAAAAAAAAAACAAACCAATGAAGAGGTCACACTGGGGGCTGATAAGGGGAAGTTTTTCATTACATACTTTGTGAATGATGTGTGCTTGATGGGGTTTGCACCATCCGCCTCTTCTGTCTTAATCCCTTGGCGGTGGCAGCATATTGGATTGTGTAGCCTATAGTTTTTTTTCTGTGGAAAATTGTTATGCATCTTTGTAATGAATCACTGTGTAATTTCTTGTTCGTTTCTTTTTTTTTTTCTTTAGTTTTTCCTGTACTTGGAATTGAACTAGGTTAATTTTCTTAACTTCAGTTAGGTAAAATAAGCATTTTAAAGGACTAGTATTTAATCATAGTTGTACGTCTGATGCAGATGACACAAATGCAAATCTAGCAACTGCAGGAGCAGAAGGTGGAAACTGTGAGACTGGTACAAGAATTAATAGGGAACACTAATTGTCTTCCTTTACTATATTGAAAAGCCATCCTAAATGTTTTACAGAGTTGTATGGGAGAGCAGATTGTTAGCTTGCTGTTTAAATCAGTGTTTTAAAAAAATAAAATCCAAACTTTCAGACTAAGCTGATGGTTGCTAAACTTGAGTAAGTTCAATGCTAGAAGGACGAGAGGTGTCCCATCATCCTTCTTTTGGTTCTTGTTCCCCTTGGCCACATGATCGGATATGCTCCACTTTTCTCCTTTCAGACCTCAGCAGCGCCCATAGGACAGGTGCCAAGAACCAGACTTGGACTTCTGTTACCTGGCCAGCTCGCCGGCACAACCCCAGCTAGTTTGTCTAGTATTTGATTAAGCGCTGGTCTTTGCCTGACATTGACTTTATACGGTTTTATTGGCCTCTGTCCCACGGTTCTTCCTGCTTGGAAAGAAAATGAGTTTGTTACTCTACTGAAAAGTGAGGTGACTCCTTTCTCGTAGTAACACAAACCCTTCCTTTCTGGTCCTCGTGTGTTTGAGAGAGCAATTATAGTTGATAGCAATTGGCAACTGAATTTATTAGGTTCTGCTTTGAAAACTAAAGCAAAACCCAGTGTTGGGTAGTATTATAAGGCCTTTTCCGATAATAAAAACAGTGATTGTTTCACACCAGCGATTCAGTGATCAGGAGAACACTTTGCTCCTGACAAAGTTAATCATCAAACCTCCCCATGTGGCAGGTCACAGACAGGAGCGTGTTAAGCAGAACTCCTGCACGTACCCGTGTGCACAGGTAAAATGGCATTAAGAGTGTGTTAAAGCCATTTAGGCTTTGACATTCAAACTGGGAGCCTTTCCTCGTGAGGAAGGTGTGTGCTAAGAGAGCTTTTGCAAAGGCTTAGGCTATTAAAATAAAAAATATCAATCATTGGTAGCCTTTATAATATTTTTCATTACTTTTATAGCTGTGAAGCAGGCATGAGTGGGGATCATTTGTAATGCAAACCTTCCACGTGAAAGAGGATACAGGGTATATTTTTTGGATGAAATTTTTTCTAAGAAGTGCTGAGGCAAATGTTTTGGAAACCTAGAGCGATGATTATGGACAGTTGATTTGTGATGCTTACGACATCTTAATAGCGTATTTATAAAAAAAAACACCAACATTTCACTTCCTGCAGCCCACCATCCATCACGTATATTCTGTACAGTGCCCTTGCACAGTGCGTGCTTACCAAGCAGCTGCGACTTGTGAGACTCCCTGGGCTGAAGAGTTCCCGTTCAGGCTTTGACAGTGACAGCAAACTGTGAGATGCATGTCTAAATTAGTTAACCTCAGGATCCTCTCCCATTTTCTCCTTTTAATAACTTTATCGGGCGACACATACAATGTTACTTTTTGCAAGGAGGCACGCTGAGTACCAAAAGATGGCTTTTTTAATAGGCTGACCTCGCTAGTGGGTGAAGGCTCTTGCATCACCACTTCAAGTAAAAGGCTTTTGCAAACAAAACCTGTCACAGGTAATTGCAGGAAAGGTCAGTTTGCCATCTTCCCCTTTGAGAGCAACATGTGCTTAAACCGCAAGAGCTACATATAAAAGTCGGTGTGTGATCTTTGATCATTATTTCCAATGAGTAAGTGTCATGTCACTGGGTTGCTGTTTTCTGTGGGGGCTGGCAGCTTGGAAAAACCCATGTCACCTTGTGTCATCAGTCCCCAGCTCCTAAGTGGGGCTTTTTAAGGTTTCTGCTCAAGTGGACTTTCAGCGGTGCTTTTGTGGCAGAGACCAGATGTTATCTGGATGGGGCAGATGGCTTGCAAACTAACAAAGGACGAGTATTGAAGGTATATCAAGAAATGAAAGAGGTCAGATGGTGAAGTGCTGCCAGATTATGCTCAGTAAGCCTGAGAGGGGATATATTCTTTAAGTTGGCTCTTCTGCATTTACCCATCATAGTGGTGTCAAGGTTTGTGGTGGCGAAGGCAGCTCTGCCCTGAGAAAAGGGTTGGGGTTGTCACACACTAATTGTACAAGAACTTAAACTAAATTGCTACTGATGCTCTTACATGTGTCTGATGATCGTGGCTTGCTCCTGGGTCCCACAATAAAAGATCGATGTTCCTCTGTCTTCTCCAGGTTCTCCGTGGAGGAGCCAGTCAGCGTCCTTTGACCCCAAATCAGAACCAGCAGGGACAGCAGACTGATCCGCTGGTGGCCGCTGCAGCCGTCAATTCTGCCCTTGCCTTTGGGCAAGGGCTGGCAGCAGGGATGCCAGGTAGGGGTTCCTCGGGAGCTGCAACTTCTCCAATGCCCAGGGAGATCTAACAAAATTATATCTTGTGTCTCTGCATGGTGTCATGTCTGCCTGACATTCAGCAGTATTTTGGTTTTATTGTTTTCGGTTTTAATCTGTGGGTATACAAGGCATTTTCGAGAGGCTGTTAGATGTGAACCTAACTAATGCAGCATTTAAGTTAAATCAGGATTTAGGTCCCTGTGTCACAGATGAAAACAAATGTTATCAACTGTATTGCTGTACAGGTGTATTAGTTGCTTGTGTACTCCAAAGAACTGATGGCTCCTATTGAACGTTGCTTTCAGATTTTTCTGTGGATCACGCTAGCTTATGTGAACTTTATTTTAAAACCTCAGAGATATCTTAGTCCTATTCATTAGCCTTGTCTTTCCATCCCTGCCGGGTACTTGACTTTAACAGGACAGGGGCTTCCCCTTTATGATTTCTTCCAGGCAAATACCTAGTGGCTTAAAAATGAGAAGAGAAAACGAATAAAAGGAAGCAGGGTTTTATTCTAATTTATAATTCTGCAAGAGAGGAGCTACTGTATGGATTCTAACTCTGATCCATGAGGCTGTGTGATACAAATGCTTTTGACATTCAGTTATACAGAATATTATTGTAATGGCAAAGGGCAAATGTAAGTATTTTTTTTGAATAACGTGCAAGTATGCCCTACTGATCAAATGTAAGAGAACAGGATTATTTTGACCTCAGGTCTCCTCACTGGAAGTGTCACGTGCTTGTTACATGGGGTTCTTTTATGGTTTAAGAAGAATATTGCTGTATTAAGTTACAAAATGAACTGTAACATGCATGTTTCCAAGCAATCTGCAGATTTCCTTAAGTCTGCATTATTGGGGTTTTGGGGGTTGTATTTGCAAAGCAAATATTCACAGAGAACATTCTCTTTGTGACCCCACCTTGGAGAATCACTTCCGTTTTTCCTGAAAGTTTTATTTGTAGAGTTATATAGCGAGGTACCTAAATAGCTGTATACTACTGCAAGTCCATTGCTTTGTGTATCACCAACATATTTGATTTAAGAGGTTTTTTTATATATTAAAGAATGCTTTATGATACATACCTTCAAAAATACATTAAGTTCCGTGTCTTGTTTGCATGTGTGTACACACTGAACAACTTCAGCAAGCAGTGGGAGAGTTGGAATTGCACTGTGTTCACGTATATGAACATGTTGTATTTATAATGGAAAGGAAAAAGTGCTTTTGGATTTTAAGACTTCTTTTTAACTGTGTAACTGAATTTACACTGAGGACAATGCTAGTATAGTAGGTTTGGCAGGGGGAGGGGGAAATGTCTTCTCTGCCTGAAAGACTTGCTAGTGTAAAATCATAAAACTGTTAATACAGACTTCTTTTCTTTTGCTGCAGGAGAAGCAGAGCTGTTGTTGCTTATTCTTTTTCCATTCAGATTTTCCTTTGAAAATCCTAGCAAGTACAAGCACTGTACTTATCCGAGGCTGACTGATCTGCTATGTGTTGCGTTGCTTGTTACCTTACCTGTGCACCTGTAATTTGCCTCTTCAGGTTACCCAGTGCTGGCTCCTGCTGCTTACTATGACCAAACGGGTGCTCTCGTGGTGAATGCAGGGGCCAGGAATGGCCTGGGGGCCCCTGTCCGTCTGGTAGCCCCTGCTCCAGTCATCATCAGCTCCTCCGCAGCTCAAGCAGGTGAGTCCCAGTCCCATCAAGTGAAAATCTGTTTCATCCCTGGCAGAGAATGGCCCTAAAATCCACTGGGCTCTCTGCTGGCAATGATGACACACTTGCCCTCACTGAGATCCATTGCGGGGATTGTTGTTGAGAACATCCTCTGTGCTCACTGTGGGCTGAGCCTCCAGAACAGCCTTGGAGATGTAGCATCACATAAACTCTTATTATTTTGCAGAATTTCATGACAGTTATTTAAATTTGTCTGCTGGCATCTAGTTTCCCATGTAATAAAAGGGTTTAGCCTGTGTAGAACTCCCAAATGATCACCTTGGGTAAAATGTTACATGCCTGGCCTTTGCCATGAGTTGTTTCAAGTTTTATTAGGGTTCTTTTGGAGTTCAAGGCTTTAAAAGGATTTTTTTCAGCTAGAATCTGTGCGTGTAAGCAGTCTTTGCCAGTGTTAGTAACAGATTATGAAATGGGCCTTTTAATTGTTTCCTTGTAGCTCTTGTTTATTTTGCTTTTTCTTTTACTTTGGAACTGGCTGAAAAACAAAAGTACTTGGTTTTGATGTTCTTAGCACCACAGGATTGCATTTTGTGCACTAAAGGGCAATTTTGCTTATTTCAAAACTTGGGTTTCTTAACTGGATATTGCTAAGTGTGTGGCTGTATTGATTTGAATCTTAGATCTTGGGAGAAAAGCAACATTTTTGTGTGTTTGATCTATGTAGCTCTAATAATACAAGCAGCAGTAATAATAACTAGACATTGTTGGTATTCAGTGGCTCTGTGCAAGACTTGCAGAGCTCAGATATAAAGTAAAGAGACTTTATGCAGAGTTTGATACAAAAGGGAGATTTTCATCCTGAGAGGAAAGAAAAATATCTATAGTAAATAAAAGGAGTCTGCTAAGTTTTAACTTCCAAAGCTGCTATGAAAATGGATTTTTTCAGTCTATGCTTCCCATTACTGTTTCTCCAGCGGTTGCAGCTGCTGCAGCTTCGGCCAACGGTGCAGCGGGCGGCCTGGCAGGAACGACAAACGGACCATTTCGCCCTTTAGGAACTCAGCAACCTCAACCCCAACCCCAGCAGCAGCCCACCAACAACCTGGCATCCAGCTCATTTTACGGCAACAACTCTCTCAGCAGCAATTCCCAGAGCAGCTCGCTCTTTTCTCAGGGCTCTGCCCAGCCTGCCAACACTTCCCTGGGATTTGGAAGCAGCAGCTCTCTCGGTGCCACGCTGGGGTCTGCGCTGGGAGGATTTGGGACAGCGGGTAAGAACAGCAGCTTCTTCATGGATGGGGAAAAGGAGAGAAGCAGATAGCTCCAAATGCAGGTGGTGGGCTTGTGAGCCACTGGAGCTGGCACTGGTGCACCGAGCGGCTGAGCCCTCCTCTTCATCCAGCTGAGGTTAAATGGAAGTTTTCTTTGAGGGACTTCTAGGCATTCAAAATCTGCAGTACTTTCTGGTGAAAATTCTTTTAGTGGGTGATACAATTAGAAGTACCAAAGTGATGAATTTGTTTTGTTATGATCGGTCGTCCCCTTGTTGCTACTGATTAAATTTTTAAACAGCTTTGAGTTTCCTTGCCTTTACCTGCATGTGCTTGGTGAAGATACTGCTCTAACAGGAATTGGCTCGGGAGTGGTATCATCCATGTGCTAACCCTTACCTCAGAATAATGGCTGCTTAACTTTTCAAGATTTTAAAAAAAGCTGATCTGAGGTGGTTTCGATGCTTTATTCTGGGAATTGTTTGTATCATACACCAAAAAAAGTCAGTTATTATGGTTGCAAGAAATGTTACGTACGTGGTTTGGTTTGATTTGTCTGTTAGGCAGTTGGAGACAAAGACTTTTTTCAGAATAAAACCAAACCAGGAAGATGTCTATGGGTTGTTTGTTTTGGTTTGGTTTTTTTCCTTAGGTTTGTTTTTTTGAAGTAGAACAATTGTTTTAATTACTGCTTAGTCTCAGAGGTAGTAATTATGGCCTGAACTTTCCTGCATTCATCAATGTGAAGGGCGAGTTAAAACAGGCCTTTTGAATCTACTCCATCAGAAAAGACTGAGGGACATACTGTCACTACATTAAATCAGAGTTTTAAATAGAAGTGATTCTAAATATTTTTCTTAAAACCAGCCTGAGAATTTGAACTGTCTTGGATTCAGGTAAACACAGCATTCGCTTCTTTCACTTCAGTTTATTTAACTAATTGAATTCAATTACTAGTTTGCTCAATGCCAAGACGCACAAACTTGTTTTCCCTGGGATCAATGAATAGAAATGTGAGGCTATTGCTTCTGGAACTTGTGTACAGTCGTGAAAAATGATTAGTTCATTACAGTTCACAATTTCACTATTTATTAAACAAGATTTTAATGCAAAATTCATTTTTTCCCCCTCAAGTTGACAGAGCATTTAAAGAGTTTGTATTTGACTATCAAGAAAACTCTTAAAAAAAAAAATTGAGTTTGTGTTAAATTGAATTCTGATTTCCATCTCAATAAAGCTTGGTGCAAACAGGAGCTGTGTTCTAATATAATGAAAGGTGAGCACAAGGATTTCAAGTAAATGTACAAGAAGCTGTACATACTCTTAAGTAAACATGAATAGATAAAATCTCACATTGGATTTGTTTTAGCTCTAATGGCCAAAGAATAAATATGAGGCAATGCTTGTAGGGCAATGTAATATCTTCTGTTAAACTAAGTGATATGCTTAGGGAAAAAGAGCTTTGAAGTATACAAACCTTCTTCTGAAGGTTCAGAAGCAAAGCGTTAAGCATCTGTGTGCAAAAACCAACGTGTTCGCTGTCGTTTCATTCTGTCACTTCTTTTAGGTAGGTTTTTATCTTCTTGATCTTTCTGCTTGTAGATTTTTGGGGCTGTGTTTCTCGATGTGTTCTATCGGTATAAAAACTACAAAACTCTAAATGCAAAGACAGGATTCAAGCTGATTTTTGTTTTAAATCAAGGATTTCTGCCTGATCATTAACAGCATGGTTTTAATTAATGGATTTCATTTGGGCACGTGCAACACCCTTAGGAAAACAACAGCCTGGTGCAATGAAGTTGTTAATAGGTGCGGTTGTACCGTCTCTCCAGCTACCTACTTGTCTCAGGCAGCTTACTGACGTCACACAATTTTACTCTCTTCCTCTTTTCAGTTGCTAACTCAAACACTGGCAGGGGCTCCCCCCCCGCGCCCCCCTCCGAGAGGA